AGGGTGCTAACGTCAGAGCTTAGTCAAAGCCCCTGTTTTGCTGAATATCTCAAAACCACTGTTCATTCTCTAAGCGCGCGCCCAGGGCACTGGATACCTGACAGTGAGGAGGGGGAGTCCGACCAACGACCTACCTTCAAGCGTGCTGTGAACAGGTCCCCACATGAGTAATGAGCACATTTTTAAATCATCTCAAAACAGGGAGATCTGAAGTCATTACCCAGCAATACAGAAATACGAGTTAACCCTCAGAGCAAACTGAACACACAGTTCAGGGACAGAGCTGCCCTCTGGCCAAGCTACAGCTTGAATCCTCCTAAAGACCAACTGGAATTCCTGCTCTGGGGACTCAGAGCTCCACTCTGGGGTCCTGCAGGCAGAGTCGGCTCTGTATCTGCGTGAGGAGACTGACGTGAGCAGCGACTGGATACCCGGGGAGCTCTGACCGCCACCAGCTGAAGGGGCCGCTGGCCTTCCCACTCACTCTTGCAGTGGGAATGACAGTCCCTGATGGACAGTCATTAGCACCCCTGAGACCATTCTATTTCCTTGCCTATTTTCTAAAAGGCTTCTCAATTTTGAACCACCAGCATGTTAAACTCGGCTGTCACTTCTTTTTATCCCAGAGTGCACAGCAGATATTCAGGACTACATACAGTGCTATTAAGTTACTTCTCTTAATATCTTGATCCTTGACTCTCAGGGACTCTCGGTACAGTTGCCTTAAGAGGTTCTCACAGCCCACAGGGCTCCTTCAAACCCAAGGTGGCTAACGATGGCGTGAAGCCACTGCAGCTACACAAGAACCTCTTCCTCAGCCTGTCACCGAGACTGGTCCAAGGAGCCTCGAGGCCCGGGAGGAGCAAGAGGACAGAGGCAACACCACCAGCTCACCGCTGTGACTGTGACACTCCTAGCCTGCGGCCTCACTGAGGCTTAAAGAAACACAGCCTGGGAGGTCTAGCTCATATTTTAATTTTTTAATTTCTAAGTTTCACATTTTTATTATAAATTTCTTACATTCTGAGGATCATAGAATGCTTAAGAATTAGATGTCATCACAATAAATTCTAAAGGCCTACTTTCCACGTGGAAACTGTTCCATATTTTAAAGACATGAACTAACAGCTGAAACCAACTTTTTTGTAACTTGGAGATTTTTGTAATGATAGTTTTTTATTGCAAAGAGATTTAACCAACTCACCTATTCCAAATGTGGATCTGTAGCATTTGCTCACTTTAGCAATGAAAACATTTCTGCAACTTAGTTTATAGTAAAGGCTATGTTGTTGCATGGTAAATCACACACACACACACACACACACACACACACATACACACACACACACACATACTATAAGCCCAGAATGGAAGGCATACAGAGACTCCAAATACTATTGCAAAATGATTCAATAAAGCTACATTTCAAATATAAATTGAAGCTCTCAAAGAGGTATTTAAGGAAAAAGTTAAGTGAGAAAACTCAGTTTTCCTCTGTGAATTCCGAGAATTCAGAACTATAAGCAAACTGAAGCTCTTACAGATGCGAACCAGGCTGAGAGGTGTGGGGCGCAGGGGGCGCAGGGTGGCAAGAGGCTGCTGAGCCCTCCTCCCTCTGCCAAGGCAGCCTCTGCCCGCTGGGAGGGGCTGACACTGCTGGCACACCGTGTCCTGCGAAGCAGTGGTGACCACAGGCCAGCGGCAGTGGCCTGCAGCTGACAGATGCACCTGAAACCTACTCCTACTAGATGCCTGTTGCTGGAATTTGAAAAAAGGGTCGAAGACTACGTTTCTGCTTTCTATGTTTACATTATATTCTTTGGGGGGAGGGAAGGAAAGTGGGGTGACGCTGGGAGAGAGGAGACCTCTTCATAAATGTGAAACAGAAAAGCAGTTTAAGTTACTGAAAGCCACCAGACTGTCACAAACAGGGTACAACCTCAAGCCCCCTACAAGAAACAAAGCGGGATGCTGCCCAAAATAATAAACAAGAAAAACCTTTGAGGGGAGTGGGTGATGGCGCAGACAACTCAAAGCAGAAGGCTGCTCGCGAAATCCGTGTCTGTTACTCCTTTTCTCAGCTGGTGGACTCCACACCATCAACAAGAACAACAAAGGCAAAACCTGGGGTAACAACAAATGCTACGCACCCAGGTGTCAGGCCAAGGGGCTTCGGGCGTCAGCAAGGGAGGCAGGTGGCTTCACAGGAAGAGGGGGATGTCACAGGCGCTCGGTGGGCGCTACACAACACCACGTGGCACCTTCTGGCCCACGCTGGTCTGAAGTGGATCGAACCTCAAGACTGAAGGTCCAATTCAAAAAGCAGGAGAACTATTAAATAACACGGGTGGGGGGTGCAGGAAACACCCAGAAACCCCAAGTATGGGAGATACTGAGATACGTCCTAGGATACTCAACTATTTCCTCGACGAAAAAACTGCAAGAGACAAAAAGAGAGGGGTGGGGGGACCCCTACAGATTGAGATCTGCGCCGAAAACACACTAACCTAACAGTGGAACAAAACAAAAAACAGTCCGGATCAGGAAGCGACTGGACACCGACTGGACACCGACTGGACACCGACGGTCGCACAGGAGTCTGCGGGGTGCGGAGTCAGCTTGGTTTGTTTACACGCAAGGGGAACCCGGGCTATGATATACTAGGGTGCTCCCTAGGACGCCGCGGGGTCATCCCCAGACGCCTCACATTTAGGGGCGCTTCCCGAACGCCCCACAGGGCTATGAACGCTCAGGCCGAGCGATGGCTCCCCGGGATCCACCTCCTTCCCCCAGACTGCCGCTCATTTTCGCAAGGGACTCGCAATGCGCCGCTGCGAGGCGACAACCAGGGGGCACTGCCCG